AATTGACAATAAAGCAGACTTGAACTTGAACTTGAACTTGAACAATAATTTTTTAATAAGCCAATAATTAATAGTTTGTTTTACAACAAATTCAATATCAGTTCACAGATTATAAATGTATAGGCTTAATTTTCGAGAAGGTCAAAAGGTGATGCCACAATCAGCATTTAAAGGTTGTCTAAAATATCTAACAGGTCTCACTACAAATAACATGGGATTTATGCCTCTCGTGCTATAATAAAACTGTCAGGGTACACCAGAGTGTACAGTATTGGTGGAAAGTGCCAAATAAAACAAAAGATACTCACTCAGTAGTGGTGTGAATTCCATGCTATGTATTTTTAGGACACTGGGTTCATATCTTCTTGTGTGAGATGAATCTCTAGAATGTGAAGACCTGTTGTGTGCTTCTGGACTTCCCAGAGACGATGTGTTCGACTTCTCATCTCCACTCACTGCAAAAAGAAAAGGGAATTAAAAAAGGGAATTCTGCATGGAATAAGTACATGAAGCGTGAGGACTTTCAAAACATTATCCAAATAATAAAGTTGGATTTATAAAAAAGATTTTGTCTATTTGATAAGATTTTTAATTATTATTAATTGAATGGCTTGATCATAAATTACATCAATGCAGATTTGAAGGTTTAAAACTTAACCTTCAGAAAACATTTTAAGATAAGTAAGTTTGTCTAAAATATAAATAATATGGAATTTGTGCCTTGTATGTTTTATCAAATGTAATGTGTATATTCTGGGTATAAGTGGAAAGTGTCAAATAAAACAAAAGACACTCACTCAGTGGTGGTGTGAATTCCTTGCTGTTAAATATTTTCAGGACCCCTGACTTGAATCTGCTTATGAGAGATGCATCTTTGGAATGTGAAGACCCAAAAATTGACCTGACGTCTGCTTCAGATGAACCGTAACCAGAACTTGCCAGAGAGCACGAATCACATCCTTCAGCATCACTGACTGCAATAATGCAATAGAGCAGATCATTAGTAGAACACTGACATTACGTTTATGTATTAGGTAGTAGGCACATTTATAAAAATCTGTTTTATAATTTCATGAGAACAGAAGAGTTTAACATAAATCTGACATTTAGAGAATCAAAGGCTTAAAACAATTGAACACCAGACACAGGTAATGTGCCTTATGATCTGTTCAGATGATAAACCTTTATTTACCACAGCACATTGTGGCTCTTGGTTTGAATGACTTTTGTCATTCAAACCTGAATTGAGAAAGAGGTTGTACCTGACAGTTATTTTCAAAACCGCAGCTTTTTCTAAGCGGTTTGGCCGTTCGTCCACACGCAAACGTTGCACCAGGTCACTGAAACCGAACATTTTTGAAAACGCCTGCCTGAAAAAGATTTTCAAAAAACTCCGGTTGCAGTGACAGCAAAAGTTTTTGGCTTGTGACATCGGAGCATGCACTGCTATCTCCATAAATATGTATATATATATCTGGTTATCACTGCTCCGGGTGTGTGTTCACGGTGTGTGTTCACTGCTGTGTGTGTGCACTTTGGATGGTATAAACGCAGAGCACTAATTCCTAGTATGGCTCACCATACTTGGCCACATGTCACTTCACTTCACTACTGGAAACTTTTTCAGGCTTCTGATTGGCCAACATGGCTTTACGGTTGAGATTATATCGCCGTTTGTCGACGCAGCTCGAGTTCCTGAAGAGGAACTTGAAATCGCATCATATGACCCCTTTAATAAAAGAATCTTACATAACCAACATCTGAAGAGCTATAAAAAAAACACTGATGACAAACACAACTGAGACATTCATACAGTTTTGTGATTTCACTCACTCGTTTGTGATCTGACGTCATCTATCCATGGCTGCATTCGCTCTTCTGATTTTATTTTATTGTCAGTTCCCTGTATTTTAATAGGGCTGCTCTTCCTCCTAATAAGGCATTTGTTTTGTGTCACTGTCTCCTCAATCTTCTCCAGCAGCTCCTTGATCTGAGTGTGGTCACTCCTGTTTTGATTGTTGAGAACATGATACCTGTTCCCACATTTGTCCAGCAGCCACTGGAGATCCTGCCCTTCACTCTCAATGTGCTGCTCTATAGATGTTTCTAACAGAGAGTCTCCATGAGTGAAGAGCACTACAGTGTGACTCCAGACTCTCTCACCGAGAAGATCCAGATGACCCTGCAATGCTTTTCTCTCAGTCTCTTTAAATCCAATATCCACACGTATGATCAGTAGTACAGTGTGTGGTCCTGGAGGACACAGAGACACACTGAGCACAATCTCCTGTTTCAGTAACTCAGGACTCTTCTCTACAGTGTAATTACTCCACCATCCTGGAGCTTCAATGACAGTGATGTGTCTGTCTGCTACTTCTCCATGTCTCTTCACACACTGAGCAGATCTCTTTAAGTTAAACTCCTCTCTGCCCAGGATGCTGTTTCCTGTTGAACTCTTACCTGCAAGTTTATACCCCATTAACACAATCCTCAGCTCTGAGAGACGTTGGGCTTCACCTGAAATAAATACACACATCTAAAATAATATTGTATTGAGAATCTGTAAATACCTGATGAATTATACATTTAATAAAATCAAATAAGTGATATTGTCATCAGCACAAAATAAACCCATTAGGGTGATCTGGACACTGATGTGATGCTCAACCTGTAAGTTCGTATTATACAGGTGCATCTCAATAAATTAGAATGTCATGGAAAAGTTCATTTATTTCAGTAATTCAACTCAAATTGTGAAACTCGTGTATTAAATAAATTCAATGCACACAGACTGAAATAGTTTAAGTTTTTGGTTCTTTTAATTGTGATGATTTTGGCTCACATTTAACAAAAACCCACCAATTCACTATCTCAACAAATTGGAATACTTCATAAGACCAAAAAAAAATTTTTAGTGAATTGTTGGCCTTCTGCAAGTTGAATTACTGAAATAAATGAACTTTTCCACGACATTCTAATTTATTGAGCTGCACCTGTAAATGATGTACATGAAACAAGTGTAGTTTTTAAGCAAGTCAATCACTAATACACTGCGCCAACAAAACTTACTGGATGTCAAATTTCTTAGAGTTTGTTTAGTAACTGTGATTGTAAGAAGTGCTGCTGCTGTATGAAATCTCGTGCAGCTGAGGGAGGTGGAGGGTTTCAGAGAATCTCCGATACCCACTGATCACTTCGAGCAAACACTGAACAGACTATTTGAAAGTTGAGCAAGCAAACTCATTGGCTGCAGATGCAGTAAAGACATGTAAAGGTTGTTTCAGCCATCAGTCTCATATCTTTTATGAAATTCAGCTTCCCAATTCATAATTAATAAATAACTTTTATTTATGAATTATCATAAGAGAATTGCCTCATTTTGTTGATCAGCATGTTAAACATCAATAAACACAAATTAAGCAAAGATTAATATTAAGACGCTGTAAAATAAAGTACTTTCACTAATTCTTTAAAAAAATACAATATTTAATCTATACAAATTTTCATCCACATCAATAAATCGCTCTTGTGCACACAGAAGAAAACAGTTCATTTACAATCCATTGGGAAAGCAGAGGGGAAAAAAGAACTATGCTCATTAATAATGATATTATGTATGTGGCTCAAATAGGTGGAGATATTTGACAAGCACAATTATTTATTGTGCTACATGAGGTCCAAGAAGCAGCAAGATTGAAACACAACTGTGCTCTGGAAATGCAAATGTCTATACATCAGTAATATTGTGAAGAAAAAAAAACAAAAAAACAAAGTTGCTTATAATAAATGGATTAAAAAGCCTTTTTTTGCCTCTTGTTCAGTTGAATTAATTAAATTGAGTTAAAATAACATGATTTTTGAGCATTTTGTAACTAAATATCATTGTGTTCACTCTACCTAATATATTTAAAATGTATGTTTACTTAAGTTATTTGTGTTAAAACTAGTTTTTCATAAATTTTTGTTGAAATAACTAACTGGGCAGTGGCTCTGTAGTTCCCACCATGCTTTGCAAGAGACTGCATTAGGAGATTCAATTTAGGGATTAAGTGTTATTTTATGTGTTTTTCAATAAAGGGAAAGAGCTGTTAGTGTCATATATGTTGGATATTTAGAGGAATTTCTTTAATGTTAATGAAAGTTGTGATTACTATGCAGAAGAGTGGCACTTGTGCACAGGCTGTGGCCACTTAATGAGTAGCTGTTCTCACATTAATACAGTAGTCTTTTCTTATTTGTTCAAGTTGGTCCCACGCAAGAAAATTTACTTTGACAAATGTCAAAAAGTTAAATATTTTACACTAATCTGAACTAAATTAACTAAATAGTTTTGACCCAACTAAGAAATATTTTAATATATAATATAAATAATATATACAATATAAACTGTGTGTAAAAACTTTGTACAATTAAAGTAAGTGTAATTAATAAATTTTTTGACTATACATGTAGGACCAGCATTAAAACTGAAAACAGCATTGAATAATAAAATAGACATGAAGTCGGAATCCGATTATTATTCCTTTTCAAAGAATGACAAAGAAAATATTTTTTGTCTCATTTGTTTGATTGGGTTCTCTATGTCTACTTTCAGGACTTGTGTGAAAATCTGATGATGTTTTTGGTCATATTTATGCAGAAATATAGAAAATCGTAAAGGGTTCACAAACTTTCAAGCAGCACTGTAGATACTATACACTGTAACAAATTACCGTGAATTTAACGGTAAAAGACTGTTAAAATCCTACAGTAAAAACCTTTTAAATGGTTAACGGTAAATTCCCCTATATACGGTGAAAAACTGTATTGGACATTAAATGTAATTTTACAGTAGTATACTGTTTTTGGAAGTGAAAAAGACTATAATTTATAGTGAATAACCGTAAATTGAAATTTTTCAGAATTCCCTGTGTTACATTTCAAATTTGATGTTGTTTTGTTGAAATAACTATGATTCTTATTAGTTTTTTCTTATCAGTTTTGTATATTAGGGTTGTATGTTACACCTAATGTTGTTAAATGAAAGTTTATTGCATTATTTCAGTTTCATGTGTTTTACCTTTGATGGTGTTTAGTGTTTGTGTGAATGACCTTCTATATATGTTATTATTTAAAAGCTGCTTGTGATGGGCTTTGGTTCATCATGTGACTTTCTCATCACCATCTGCATTTGGTGGTTATCAGTGTATTACAAAGGTACAAAACAGATTTCAGTACTTCAATAGGTTGGTATATTAACATTATATCAGTTAATGAAATTACGGTATTTAACTGTAAATTTAAGTTAAAACCTTAAAACCTAAAATGTTGCTACCGTATTTTTTACGGTAAAATTCCGGCAACAACAGCTGCCGGTTTTTTACCGTAAATTTTACGAAAAAATGTTAACAGTGTCTATATACTTATATACATATATGTGTATACAGATATATAGATATAACACCAAAAGGGGGCAGGTTAAGGGTAGTCATAGGGTCTCTCTATATCTTCTATTATTGTTTGTAGATCCCTGTCCCTGTTTGAGGCTCCTGCCCATTGGAGATCTCCAGGTTGAAACTAAACTATACCCATTTCCAGAACAGAAACTGGTAACATGCAGCAAAAATGCCAGTGGCAGTGAGAAAAGGGTTTAACAGATATTTCATAAGCTTTTAAATGAAATTGGATGTAGTGTTCTCAAAATTGTGGATCCCCTCCTGGACCTTCGATGATACATTTTTGATCAGCAGGTTCAGTGTGGTTAAAGTTAGGAGTAAAATTAAGGGTGGGCTTTAGGGAAAGGGTGTGTGTGTGTGTGTGTGTGTGTGTGTGTGTTGCTTCAAGAGAGCAATCATGCATTTGCATTGTGTTTTACTTTTTTTCTTTTATATCATTGATTCTTCATTCATTCATACATTCATTTATAATAATTTATCATTTAATCATATTATTATTCCATTAACCTTTACATTTAATAATTTAGCAGATGCTTTTAATCATATAACATCCATTCATGATTATAAATGTACTCAGTGCTTGAAGTGGGCTAGTACAGACCGGTACGCAGATCCGGCACTTCTATATTTTAGTCTTTAGTGTACTGGCACTTCTGACATGTTGCCGGTACTCAAAGTTAAAGCATCAGTGTCAGTGTCTGGGTGATGAGAAATCCCAATAAATCACACTAACAGGAGGGGTCACCTCTCATCTTGACAAATCACGTGAATGAATGCAAGCAGAGTCAGTCTACCTCAGGGTTTTTTTAATGTGTGGGGTGCGAGAGCATGTCAGGAGAGGTAGAAAAATAATCAATTATTGAATCAGTACATTATAATGAAAACAAGAACTTCAAAATAAAAAGAAGCAGTTTTTTGCAATTAACTCCTGGAAGGTCCAAGGATCCAGTAAGCGAATTCAAAAAGTAAGTTCAAAACAGCGCTAATGCAGAGAATAGTGACTTATGTCCAGATGGCAGTAAATTATTATTTTCAGTGTGTATTTGGCTTAAAAGCAAGAGTGTTTTATAATGGACACTGGCTGAAGGTGTTTTAAATTATACAGTTGTCAGTGGTTTAATGATTCTGAATGGATCCATATAGTAGTACAGTCAGGTCAAGGCAGGAGGTTTAGTGGTCTTTGGCGCCTCCCTTTGACCCTGTTAGGTATCACAGCTTGACTTGTGCTTATTTGTATAAAAATTTTTTATTTAATTACTTGAAACTAAACTTTCACTAATTCCCTATTGTGAATTCTGAAAATTAAAAAGTATTTATTTATTTATTTAAAAAATAAATAAGAGGGAGTGGGGGTGAGTACTGACACTTCTTTTTTCCCACTTAAAGGACTGAATGTACTGTACTACTTATAATACATTGAGGTGCAAATAGTATCTGACACATAAACAGCATCAAACTACTATTTATTTAGTGTCCAGAAAATAAAATTTTTCTCTTTATATATATATTGTAAACACTCTGCCTATATGTATATATTAATAGTATATTTTTTGGGTTGTGCAGCTGTTGTTGTGACTCAAGTTTCAGTAAATTTACACTTACTCATCTGTGATCTGATGTTGTCTCTTCGTTTTTTTATTCTCTTCATTTGTTCATCTGCTCTCTCTTCCTCTGCTCTTCTTCTCTCTTTAATCTCCTGTAAGAGCTTTCTGTTTATTTCAAAATGGCATCCGTTGTTTTGTACCACTGTCTCCTCAATCTTCTCCAGCAGCTCCTTGATCTGAGTGTGGTCACTCCTGTTCTGATTGTTGAGAACATGATATCTGTTCCCACATTTGTCCAGCAGCCACTGGAGATCCTGCCCTTCACGCTCAATGTGCTGCTCTATAGATGTGTCTAACAGAGAGTCTCCACAGGTGAACAGCACTATAGTGTGACTCCAGACTCTCTCACCAAGAAGATCCAGATGTTCTTGCACTGATTTTCGGTGAATCTCTTTAAATCTAGTGTCCACACGTATGATCAGTAGTACAGTGTGTGGTCCTGGAGGACACAGAGACACACTGAACAAAATCTCCTGTTTCAGTAACTCAGGACTCTCCTCTACAGTGTAATTCCTCCACCATCCTGGAGCTTCAATGACAGTGATGTGTCTGTCTGCTACTTCTCCATGTCTCTTCACACACTGAGCAGATCTCTTCAAGTCAAACTCCTCTCTGCCCAGGATGCTGTTTCCTGCTGAACTCTTACCAGCAGCTCTATACCCCATTAACACAATCCTTAGCTCTGAGAGATGTTGGGCTTCACCTGCAAAAAACAGAGAACAAAACATGCTTATTAAAAATTATACTTAGCTGCAAACTGTGAATATCTGCTTCACACTCCTTCACCATTTTCCCTGTGACACAATTCAGCAGAGTACTTCAATGTTACAGTGCATCGGCTTAGGACACACTCAAAGACAGATCAAAATCAGAGATGAAAAATAAGAAATACCATAGCCACTTTACGAAGTAAAGTGAATGTACACGTTATTTGGCAACATGCTTAAGCAAACTATCAAAGTGAACATTTCTGAGGAAACCCATTAAGTGGCAGTGCCTTCCCAAGAAACATACAGATGCTTACACACACTTATACACACACACACACACACACACACACATGTCATACATGCAGGATTTGTCCAGCATGGGGAAAACAAACGGAAGAATTAAAATCCTCAGAAATGTTCATTGATAGTTTGATAGCCAAATAACGCGTACGTTTAACATACATTGCCTTTGTCAAAAAAAATGTAGGAATATATGTTTTCAGTGGACTTTCCAAATTTGCTTTGCGTGAGAATACTTTCAAATAAACAGTAACTACTTCCTTGTGGATCCGCTTACCCGAATCCCTCTCTGAATAGTGGAATTACTGAGATTATTATTCAAAATCATAAGAATGGGTGCTTTTCTGTAAAATCGTTACAATGACCAAAAGAATGCTTATGAACTACATGATTTCATTTACATTGATTATAAAACAAACATATCATTTATGAATGAGGTTCAGCTCCCAAATCAAGAGTAAATTAATCACTTCTCTTTAGGAATTATGGAAAAAGAAAAAGAAACAGCTTAAGTTGCACAAATTAAACAAAGGTAAATAGTAAAATGCTGTAAAATAATTTATTTTCATTAATTATATTTTTAATCAAATGCTTCATCTATACTGTACATCTGTTCATCTAAATCAATGAATAAATCTCTCTCTTGCACAAAGACAGGAACGGAACCAATTATGCATCGAGGAAAGGGAAGGGCTGGGAATTACAGAAACGCCAGACAAAGGAAGAAACAAACTATAATGAGTAATAATGGCATTATGTAGATCTGGGCTAATAATACATGTAAAAAATAATATAATTTCTTATTTTTCAGTAACCCTCTAATTCAGTGGAAATTGTCACAAATGAGATCATCTGGGCTTGCTTGTTTATTTTTTATATAAAAAAAGTTATATTTTTGACATATGTGAAAGCCCTTTCACAACAAAAGTGAAATGAATAAGGTTCAGGCTGAAGGAAATGTAAATTAATTCTCGAAAGTTTTAAGATGCAGGAGAATAAAGTTCCCTTTCTTCTGAAATACAAATATTATGTTTATGTGAAGTCATTTCTACTTATTAGTATGGTTGAATTGGATCATCGAAGGTCAGCAGCAAAAACATTGGTTTATAAAATGGGATTAAATACATTATGGATATGTGTGTTATGGGTTTGTGTAAAAATACTGAGTTTTTATTTATTTTGAGGATTGCTGAATCTGTTTTTGTGCAAGTGAGATGTTGTTCACATTTAGTCTAGAACTACAGTAACCATCATGTTTACACAGCACACTCAATGCCTCTGCATTTACTCATGCGGACAGGAGAGCTGTCCGTCAATAAACAGGAAAACAAAGTAACTGGCATAACTTATTCGAAAAAGTAACTTCGATAGTTACTTTATTAGTTACTTGGAAAAAAGTAATCTTCTCAAAGTTGTATGTAACCATGGTTCCCCGAAGGGGAAACACTTTGGGAATGCCCTGACGAGACCATGTTCTGAAGCACGTGTGAAATCAGTCCAATAGAGAAGCGAGACGTCACGAGCAGGGTGACGTGTGCAACCAGGAAGCATAAAGGCACATCCGGCAAATGCACAAGTTAGATTCTGTGGAAGCGAGTGCCAGCAGGGATCATGGCAAGAGACGCAGCATCTCATTCCCTTCGGGGAACCATGGTTACATATGTAACCTTGAGATGGTCCCCTTCAGGAATTCGAGCTGCGTCGAAACGCTTTGGGAACGAGAATACCCACTGCGCCATACAAGCAAGTCCCTGTCTGGTGTGTATCTGTCTGAGCACATCAAGACGAGAGAACCTGGGACCCTGGGGTAGATGTCAGGTCCAAATTGTAAAGCCAGATAAACGTGTGCGGAGAGGAACAGCCCACCGCAGCACAAATATTCTGAAGTGCGCTCTGACCCCGACAGGTGACTGGAGGCCAGAGGACTCGTAGGCCAGTGTGATGGTCTCAACCACCCACCTACTCATGGTTTGTTTAGACGCTGGAGCCCCTTTCTTAGGCGGGCCAAAGCAAACAAATAACTGATCTGCCTTACGCCACTGGGCAGCTCTGTGAACGTAAGCGTCCAGTGCTTGCCCTGGACAAAGCAGATTGAGTCTTTCCTGGCCTGCCTCCTGAAAGGGAAGAGGACAAAAGGCTTGCAGTACTACAGGACCTGGCGAAGAAGTGGGCACCTTAGGGACATACCCGGGTCTCGGGTAAAATAATGCCCTAACCATGCCCGGAGCAAACTCCAGGCACGATACAGCGAGTGCCTGAAGATCCAATATCCTCTTCAGCAAGGATATGGTGAGTACGAAGATCGTCTTCAGAGTGAGGAGCTTGTTAGAGATCTTTTCAATGGGCTCGAAAGGAGCATTGCACAAAGCCTCCAGAACCACCGGCAGGTCCCAAGAGGGCATCTTGGTGCACTGTACTGGCCTCAGGAGGAAACGTGTAACTAACGGGTGTCTTCCCAATGACTGACCACCCTGAACAGCGTGGTAAGCAGCTACTGCCACCCCATAAACCTTCAGAGTGGAGGGAGATAACCCTGCGGAGAAGCGTTCCTGCAGAAACTCCAGAACTGTACCAAATGGGCAGTTGACTGGGTCTTGCCGTCGCTGTCCACACCAAGAAGAGAAAAGTTTCGACTTCAAGGCGTAAATTTCCTTGTGGTGGGATCTCTGGACTGGAGTATAATTTCAACAACCTCAGCTTTGAGTCCGGATGATAGGAGCTGTGCCCCCTCAGGGGCCACACCCACAGCTTCCATAACTTCAGGCAGGGGTGAAGGGTGGTGCCCCCGCCTGAGAGAGGAGGTCCCTCCTTATCGGAATCTCCAGCGGAGAACCGTCAAGAAGGGACACAAGGTCCGAGAACCATCCTCGGGCCGGCTAGAATGGGGCTGCTAGCAGAAGATGGACCCCGTTCTTGGCACTCTCTCCAGAACTCTCAGGAGCAGAGCGATCGGGGAAATCCGTACAGACGAAGCCTCGGCCACGTCTGCACCATGGCGTCCAGCCCAATGCGTGAGGGAGAACCAGAGCAGACAGTGTGTTGTTTCCTGTGATGCAAATAGATCCACTTCCACCTGCAGGAACTCCCTCCAGAGGAGCCACCACCTCTGGGTGGAGCCTCCATCCCCCGGGCCTCAGCCACTGCCTCGACAGGATGTCTGCTCCCTGATTGAGGTACCCAGGGATGTAGACTGCTCTGAGTGAGAGAAGCTTTCCCTGAGCCCACAGGAGGATCTGGTGCGCCAGCCTGTAAAGGGGGCGCGAGCGCAGACCCCCCTGTCGGTTGATGTAGGAGACCACCGATGTGTTGTCTGTGCGGACAAGCACATGATGTCCCCTTAGGTCTGGAAGTAAGTGTTTTAGAGCTCGAAACACTGCCAGCATCTCCAGGCAGTTTATGTGCCACGTGAGATGAAGGGCTTCTCACAGACCCTGCGTACAGCGGCCACTCATGACTGCTCCCCAGCACATGAGGGAGGCGTCTGTCGTTAGTGTTACGTGACGACAAGGAGCCCCCAACGTTGCGTCTGACTGCTCTAGCACCCTCACTTCAGGCGATGAGCTTTCCTGAGCCATACCGTCGCCGGGCGGCAGTTGGGAAATTCGCTCATCGAAGATCACTGAGCCCTGAAGCACCAGGGGTGGCAGGGGTGTCAGTGAAGCTCCCTGAAGGCACTGAGGAGGATCAGGCACCGTATACTGAGGTTTGTACCTCTCCTCCCCAGGGGGGCTGCCCTCAGGGCCCTAATGATGGTGGCGTCAGGGCCGCTTGGCAGAGGTCTTCTTAGACAGAATAATGGTCTGCAGATCCGCTTTCTGCTTCGAAGACCCCGATTGAGAGTGCCACCCCGACCCCTGCGCTTTCTGCGGGGGGGGTATGGGTTACTACGCTCTGTTTCTGGGTCTGGCGATATGAGGAGCTAGACGTCCAGGGCTGCTGAACGGGAGCTGAACTAAAAGACCTCTCATCCAGGTCTTTTAGCAGGTCGGCCTGGTAAGCCTGCAACACCGCCATGGCCTGCTGCCGTGTATGCTTTCCCAACCAGGCTGGATGTCAGCTTTACTCGCCTGGTGGGAAGCTTCGGGGCCTTCAGGGATGATGCGGAGGACGGGGAGAGATAACTTGCGAGCGTCTGATCCACCGCCGGCATCGCCCCATATCCCTTCTCATTCAGCCCTGAGATGTTCGAATAATTTGCGACCGTAGGGCTGAAGAGTCAGGATGAATACGGTTTCTCCCACGATCTCGACATCTCAGCATGGAGATCAGGGAAAAACGGAAGGCCCTGCTGTGAAGGTTTACGATCTAGCTTTTTGGAAGCACTCGTCCAGCTTGCTTTTGGGACGAACGTCCTGTTTCTCGGCTGGCCAATCGATGTTAAGCTTGGCTACAACGCAAGTCACAACCTCCACGAGCTCCTCATATGCGAGGGACTGTGCTGGCAAGTCCACAGTCTCCTCCGTGTCGAAGCTCATCACGTCAACCTCCTCGGAGGAAGACAGATGAAGTGTCTGGCTCTCTCTCCGGGGGGAAGAAACCATGGGCTGGGCTTCCGATTCCTGAGAGGGAGCTGTGAATCTAGCGGGTGAGGAACGAGATAAGGACGTGCCCGTCTCGGATCCCTCCGCTAAATCCACTTGCGATCCCCACGATAACAGTCCGGTCCAGGACCGGACCCAGCAGGATCGCGAGCCTGGCCGCTTTCATCGAAGACGGCCAGGCGGGAGCGTAGCACACGGAGCGGGAGAAGCTCACAATCATGACAGTCAGCCCCCTCGAGAACTGACCGTGCATGCTCCGCTCCCAAACAGACGACGTACAAATAGTGTGTATCCCCACCCGAGAGATAGCGCGGGCAGAGAGGAACACACGACTTGAAATGCCGTCTACTCGCCACAGATTTGGAATTACACTTTGACATATTTGCTTTCTTTCTAACAGAGTTTCTCCTTACTGACTGTGCTTATGCAGACACATACACACCATAGAGGTGCTCGCTGAAGAGCAGAAGCTAACATGTGCGTTTGCCGGATGCGCCTTTATGCGCACTGGTTGCTCACGTCACCTTGCTCGTGACGTCTCGCTTCTCCATTGGACTGATTTCACACATGCTTCAGAATGTAGTCTAGCCAGGGCGCTCCCAAAGCGTTTTGATGCAGCTCGAGTTCCTGAAGGATAACTGATTACATAACTTGCATTACATGTAATGAGTTACCCCCTAAACTGTAGACTAACATGGAAGTAAAAACACTGTTAAAATAGGATCCTTCTTTGTTCTGTTGCCATGACTCTCTAATTTCATAAAATTTCAGACTCACTCATCTGTGATCTGATGTCGTTTCTCTGTTTTTTCATCCTCTTCGTTCGTTCTTCTGCTCTCTTTTCCTCTGCTCTTCTTCTCTCTTTAATCTCCTGCAAAATCTTTCTGTCTATTTCAAAATAGCAGCCGTTGTTTTGTGTCACTGTCTCCTCAATCTTGTCCAGCAGCTCCTTGATCTGTGTGTCATCACTCCTTTTTTGATTGTTGAGAACATGATATCTGTTCCCACATTTGTCCAGCAGCCACTGGAGATCCTGCCCTTCACTCTCAATGTGCTGCTCTATAGATGTGTCTAACAGTGAGTCTCCATGAGTGAACAGCACTATAGTGTGACTCCAGACTCTCTCACCGAGAAGATCTAGATGCCCCTGCAATACTTTTCTCTCATTCTCTTTAAATCCAATATCCACACGTATGATCAGTAGTACAGCATGTGGTCCTGGGACACACAGAGACACACTGAGCAAAATCTCCTGCTTCAGTAACTCAGAGCTGAACTCTACAGGAACATCCATCCACAATCCTGGAGCTTCAATGACAGTGATGTGTCTGTCTGCTACTTCTCCATATCTCTTCTCACAATGAGCAGATCTCTTCAAGTCAAACTCCTCTCTGCCCAGGATGCTGTTTCCTGTTGAACTCTTACCAGCAAGTTTATACCCCATTAACACAATCCTCAGCTCTGAGAGACGTTGAGCATCATCTGCAACAAACAGAGAACAAAACACACCTTTTCAAAATAATATTGCGTTGAGAATCTGTAAATATCCACTCTACATATATTTAATAAAACTTTTAAGTAATAAAATAAATAAGTGATATTGTACATTGTCATGTCATTATCACAAAATAAATCTGTCAGGGTGACCTGAACCTTCATGTTCTATTATAAATGACATATATATATAATTGTTTTTGTTTTTTACTTGACCATCAAACGCTAACAGGTTTAACACACTGATCCAACAAAACCCAAAAGTCACTGGAGGCTGGTGTTTATTGGAGTTACTGTAGTGCAGGTGTGAACACTAAAGCCCTATCTGAATGGGGTTTTACTGAGATAAAGTTAGTAGCTAGTAAGTGAAGTGACATGTGGCCAAGTATGGTGACCCATACTTGGAATTAGTGCTCTGCATTTACCCATCCAAAGTGCGCACACACACAGCAGTGAACACACACCCGGAGCAGTGGGCAGCCATTTATGCTGCGGCGCCCGGGGAGCAGTTGGGGGTTCGGTGCCTTGCTCAAGGGCACCTCAGTCGTGGTATTGAAGGTGGAAGAGAGCGCTATACATTCTCTCCCCCCACCTACAATCCCTGCCGGTACGAGACTCGAACCCACAACCTTTGGGTTATGAGTCCGACTCTCTAACCATTAGGCCACGACTTCCCCCTATATCTGGAGTGTAATGTCAAACTTGTATCCTTTTCTCTTTATCAGAATAAAGGCCTTACAATAATAAGAATGCTTAAAAACTGTCTACCATTTCATTAACCATGTTTATCATATATATGCATCTTTCATGAAGGGAGTTCAGCTCTCAGATTAGATTTAATCATCGATCATGGCTAACTGCTTTTGTTTATGAATTACAGAGAAAATTGCTTTTTTTGGATTTGCAAATACACATTATGTATCACATTTACATATTAAGTATTTTCAATTATAATATTACCAAAAGCCAATGATTCAAACATTTCACATGTAAAACTGGCCATCCAATCAATGAATACACTCTTTCTGATGTATCAAGAAAAAGAAAACACAGGCAACTGAAAAAACAGGCAAACAGGAACAGAACACAGTAGAAATGAAGTCAAAACAGAATATAACTCTGACACAAACTTCAGGTAGGAATATTTAACAACTGTGTTTATTTATTAGGCTGTATGGGGCCAAGCACCAGCAATCCCAAAATTCAACTGCATTCTGGAAATGAGCCGCAAAAAATGCAGCCACCTATTTAATAGGTGACTATGAAAAAAAAAGAAGCTCAAAGTCACTCACAATTAGCTAACCAAAAATCCTTATTAATTAGGAAAATTAAGAGTAAGAACATTTCACATAACATTTGGCTTTATAACAGCAGTGATTGGGTGATGTTTCTGGACTCCTTTTTAATGGTTCAATTCAATTTGATTAATCAAACAATTCTTAAACAATTTAACATCAATTTATTAAAAATGTAACAAAAATGACATGTTTAGGGCCCTAGGGCCCAACCTTATGTTTTATTGTTACCAAATTCGGTTTTAGCTTGTCTAATTATTTGAAAGCATAAAAACAAGTTTCATTTATTCTTGGAAAATAAAAGGAATTTAATATTACAATTAAAACATTGAAGAAATATTGTATGATTATTCCTTAAAAATAAGGTTTTAATAATTTTAGTAGTAGTAGCAGCAGCAGCAGCAGCCTATTATGTACATTCTGGTGTGTAATATATTTCTGCCGCAATGCCCTCAAGTTAAACCGAACTTTTATTTTGACGGGTTGCCGTGAATACCTTTACATTTCTGTGTATATAATATGAGGATAGTTTTACTCAAATGAAACGGTCAAATGCACATGAAGTGACTCTCAGTTCAGGAGAGAGCAGTTCTGGAGATGTTGTTCATGTATTTATGTCCTCATTTAGTGAGGCTAAAATCAAGCAAGCGTCACACATGCTTCAGTACAAGTAGTAAACAAAACCGCGCGTCTGCGCCATTCATAACACAGAGACACACAGAATTCATATTTAAATAGTCGTTTTGTGGCTTAATATTTACAAATACTAGTGGGAGTGCGCGACTGCGGTCAAGCCAGCCGCCAAGTCGAAAAGCACGGTCAATCTAGCCGCCACGTTATTTCGAGGGTCGCGCATAAACTGCCTATTACGGTAAAACCGTCAGAGAACTGATCTGAATGCAGTGCTCCTCATCCAGCGAACGCGAACGCGACCCCCCTGCTGTTTTGTCTCTACATTCAAAAGGATATAAAAATAAAAGTTCTAGATTGCACAGACCAGTTTCACCTCAGATTGAGAGTACACCTTCCCACGATGTCAGCTGCGTCGTTTCAGGACTGTCTGATGTGGAATTACAAAATAAGAGCCCCCACAACTTCCATATATATGCCGTTTTGTCTACATTCAAAAAGCTATAAAAATAAAAGTTCTAGATTGCACAGACCAGTTCCACCTCAGATTGAGAGTACACCGGAAAGGTAACTTTAAATGACTTCTGTTGTGATCTGGCGGGCTGCCCCCCTAATATAATGGCAGGGGAAACACTGCATATGTTTACTTTCACTTAAGACCTAAATGAGAAAAAAAACTTTTTCCATTTCGAGAAAAAAAGTCGAAATAAAATGTTGAGAATAAACTCATTAAATTACGAGGAAAAAAAGTCGAGATAAAATGTTAAGAATAAGCTCATTAAATTATGAGAACAAAGTAGTTAAATTTCAAGAAAAAACATGTTAGATTTCGAGAGAATAAATATGGAAAATAAACATTAAATTACGAGAAAAAAGTCGTTAAATTTCGAGAATAAAGTCGAGATAAAATGTTGAGATTAAACTCATCAAATTTAGAAAATAAAGTCATTATGTTTCGAGAAAAAAAACTTTTTACATTTCGAGAATTTTTTTTTTCCTTTGTAATGGCAACGTATAGTGGCAACAAGAAAAGTGAAATTCCTGGATTCTTTGCCACAATGCAACTTTGTGAGCATGTCAGTTGTCAAGTATTAACAATTACAATATTACCAAATAAGATTAATCACATTTACATGAATGAACATATTCAAGATGTTCAGTGCTGGGCATCATAATAAACAGATATGCTTCACTAGCGTACTTGCGTACATGTGGTGTAGTAGATGATCATTATGTGTCACACACCAGCATACTATTATGGGAATCAAATGGAAACCATTAACTAAATTGGTAAAATTGTGCATCTTGACAATGTAATTTAAATTAACTGAATTGCAATGTTTTATACAAATAAAGTACAGAAGCATAGTTACAGAGAGAGAGATCTGAAAAGCAATTATATTCAGCACTTTTTAAACATTGAAAACATGTCACAATACAGCAACAGTTGCAATGCAGTGAAATATCCCACTCAGTTTTAGGTTGTGATGACTTATGAAGTTTACAATATTGTTCTTTCTTTTTTAAACAATGAATTACAAAAAAGCAAAAACAAAACAATATATGTGTGTGTGTGTGTGTGTGTGCATGTTTATGTGGTTTATGAGGACACAAATGTGTATAATGACATGGGTATGACATAGGTATTACAACGAGAAGGTGATTCATGAGGACATTTTCAGTGTCCTCATAGTTCATAAGTACTTGCATTTTCATACAGCCAATAAACAAGCACAAGATCCATAGTCAGAGTACAACATGGCTATTTTCTTAAAATAATAGTTTATTAAATTTAGTAAAAAGGGAAGAAAAACCTGATGTTGTGTAATTTTCAGGTATTTTTATACATTTAATGTAATGCTTCAGGAAAGAGAAAAGTTAATAATAAATGATACATTTACAGAATTAATATCAATTAAATTGATATTTACAAGGCACTCAGATTTATGTCATCTGCTGTAGTTCAGGATGTTCAGAGCTCTTCTGAATGATTGAGATCCCATCCATATCCAGCTCCACTGAATGAACACTGAAGGAGCCAATGCCCTGTCAAACACAACAGCAGGACCAACAACATTCATAAAATCCAGTTTATTTTTACTATTTAAGTTTTTTGTGAAATATGGAAGAACAATAATAACTCAAAAATTAAAATCCTTATTTAAGGTATTTTTCAGAAAAAAATCACCAATATACCATATCATGTCTCTCACCCTCTCTGCAGGCTTCAGCACACTCCTCTGCATTGGTCACCAGCTGCTCTGCGTTCTGTACAATGGAAGGTAATACCAGCCAGCTCCTTACCAGCAATACCATACCAGCTCCACACCACGTCCTGCACTCACACAGTGATCCAGTGAAAACACAACACGCTGTTCATCAGGGCCATGCACAGACCTTTTGAGGGGCATGTGCTGAAACTGAAAAAGGGTTTCAGCACATACCCCCCCCCCATTCGAATTTTAGGGACACTAGGCTCCATCACGCAGTGAGTTGTTGCCCTGCATCATATTTCTCATCAATCAACTGTATGAAATGTCAGATGACCTGTTAAGTGCGTTAATAATTTTAATGTTCTAGTTTATGTGAAGACGAGCGGAGAGTATAGAATACTAGATTCAAAAACTAGATAGTAAAGTTTGTAGACAAACTTTAAGTTGGCTTGAAAAAGCCTAGCCAGAAAGTTTGTAAAAGTTTTAAAAGCTTGAAGTTTGAAGGTTTTCGGTTTGAAGTAGTTTGAAATACTTGAAATAGTTTTAAAGATTAAAGTTTGAATGTTTTGAAGGCAATACAGTCTATCAAAAGAACAGACATAGAAAAACAGATCGCTAGGGTACCTGGGGTGGCTTCTAGGGTGGTTGCTAGGGTACTCAAGGTGGTTGCTAGGGTGTTTCTGGGTACCTGGCGTAGTTGCTAAGGTATTGCTATGTGGTTGCTAGGGTATTCTTGGTGGTTGATAGGGTGTTGCTATGTGGTTACTAGGGTAGCTGGGGTGGTTGCTAAGGTGTTGCTAGGTGGTTGCTAGGCTACCTGGGTTGGTTGCTAGGATGTTACTATGCAGTTGCTAGGGTACCCAAAGTGGTTGCTACGGTGTTGCTAAGGTACCCAGGGCCGTTGCTAGGGTGTTGCTATGCGGTTGCTAAGGTACTCAGGGTGGTTGCTAGGGTGTTGCTATGCGGTTGCTATGGTGCCAGGGGTGGTTGCTAAGGTGTTGCTAAGGTAACCAGGGCCGTTGCTAGGGTGTTGCTATGCGGTTGTTAGGGCACCCAGAGTGGTTACTAGGGTGTTGCTAGGCTACCTGGGGTGGTTGCTAGGGTGTTGCTATGCGGTTGCTATGGTACCCGGGGTGGTTGCTAAGGTGCTGCTAGGTGGTTGCTAGGGCACCCAGAGTGGTTACTAGGGTGTTGCTATGGTACCCGGGGTGGTTGCTAAGGTGCTGCTAGGTGATTGCTAGGCTACCCGGGGTGGTTGCTAGGGTGTTGCTATGTGTTTGCTATGTTACCTGGGTTGGTTGCTAAGGTGTTATGCGGTTGCTAGGGTACCCAGAGTGGTTGCTAAGGTACTCAGGGTGGTTGCTAGGGTGTTACTAGCATGTTGTTAGCATGATTAGCAAGTTACCAGCATGTCTCTAGCATAATTATCATGTTACTAGCATGTTGGTAGCATAATTAACAAGTTACATGCATGTTGTTAGCATGTTCCTAGCATGATTAGCAAGTTACTAATAATAATAATAATAATGTTTAATTTATATAGTGCCTTTCCCAAGCTCAAGGACGCTGTACAAAAGGAGTAACACAATAGACAGTCGATTCACATAATCATAAACAGTCATTTCACAATCAATTAATCAAATTAAGAGGACAGTAGACATTTGCCCAGTTCGGGCATAGACATGATTGCAGTTGCATATCATGGTACAATTATGTACTGGAAACAGAGATACATAACATAGTATAAGTAACAACAGAAAAAGGATAAGTGTCAATAAGTAACAAACAAAAAGCTCTTAAAAACAACAAATCCCCTGGAAATGATGGGCTTACATAAGTTTAATTAAGTTTTTATAAATGATATATCTAAATTCCTGTTAGCGGTATATGAAGAGGCCATCAACAAAGAATCTTTACCTACAGCACTCAAACAAGGCGTTATCACCTTGATCCCTAAACGTCAAAAAGATATCCTTTTATTAGAAAATTGGCGACCTATCTTATTACTAAATAATGATTATAAAATAATGGCATCAATTTTTGCAAAACGTATGAAAAATGCATGAAATTAGATAATTGATGAAACTCAATGTGGATTCATGAAAGGTCGCCACATTTCCTCTAATATTCATTTAGTTATTGATTTAGTGCAGTATAGTAATTTATTAAATGGAGACCCTTTAATACTTTTTCTGGATTTTAGAAAAGATTTTGATACAGTAAGCCATAATTTTATATTTGATTCATTAAAACTCTTTGGTTTCGGACAATATTTCATCAAAAGTGTAAGAACTATGTACTGTGGTAGCAATAGTTCTATTAAACTTGCCAATGGAACATCTCCTAGATTTGAAATAAATCGAGGCATTCGACAAGGTTGTCCAATTTCTGCGTTCCTTTTCTTGGTCGTAGCTCAAGTTTGAAGTAATATGATAAATCAACATTCTTTCAAAGGTATTGTAGTTCATGAAAGACAAATTAAAATATCGCAACTTGCTGATGACACGACAATTGTTCTTAGTGATAGTTCTGAGGTACCTCTGGCTTTGAATATCATTAATAATTTTTCAAAATTTTCTGGATTGAATTTAAATCTGTCTAAGTGTGAGATCCTACAGCTTAAAAATAACAACCTATCCACTGTATGTAATACTCCTGTTAAAAGGATGGTAAACTATTTGGAAATCAAAATCTCTAAAAATACTGATGCAATGGTCAACTCAAATTTTATACCTGTTATCGAAAAAATGTAAAAGAGGTATAATTCATGGTTGGCGAGAGATCTTTCTATTCAAGGAAGAATTTTATTAAGTAAAGCAGAAGGTCTTTCGAGAGCAGCATACCTCCTGTCTTCACTTAGTGCTCCAAAGGTTATATGCTCACAAATGGATAAAATACTCTTTAATTTCATCTGGAGAAACAAGTCTCATAAAATAAAAAAAGTGTCCTTGTTACTTGTCTATCTGATGGTGAGTTAAATGTTCTTAATTTTACAACTTTCAACCAAATTTTAAAAATTAACTGGCTTAAAAACTTTCTAAAAAATCAAACGAGTATTTTCAATATTGTCCCATATAAATTATTTGAAAAACTTGGGGGATTAAATTTTTTGTTGCAGTGTCCTTATATAGCCAATTATCACAAACAAGCATTACTTTACTGGTCACTTTTGTACAAACACAATTTTTCTCCTAGCAGGTGTTTTATATGGAACAATAGTAATATCACTCACAATAACAAGTCATTGTATATGGAGAATTGGGTTCGGCATAACATATTAATTGTAAACCAGCTTATTGACAAGAATGGGCAATTATACACTTACCCTAATTTTATTACAAAATATAGCTTTTTTTGTAAACGAAAAATAATTTAACAAAGTAATCAAGGCTATTCCTAGTGGCATAATAATTTTAACCAAATTCTCTGATGTGAATATTAATAATACAAGCCTACAAAATCACCAACTTTTTGTAAATGGTCTCTCCTTTTTTGACAAGCGCTTTAATAACAGTTTTATAAGAAACTCCCTTAATG